CACCCAACCCAAATCCACTCAATTACATTTAATCACTTCAGAGCAGGAAACAGAGCACAAATTGATAACAAAAATAAAATAAAATACAGACCATGAAATACAACTGGACATCGGACATGTATGCATACACCCATTCATTCCCTGACATTGGTAACAAAATATATGTAAAAATCAATTTAAAGCACAAGGTCTTCAGCTTGTTTCTGTATGAGGTTTACTTGAATGGACAAATTACAGAGGATCTTTGATGAGAAATCATATAAAGCCAACAGTTTATCTTGATTCTTTAACATTTCAGAAAGGGTCTCTTCATTGAATTCTTTATTATTTTTTGTAATTAATTTATTATTTTTTGCATTTTCAATGGCGTATGTAGTGGCTATTTATGTTGCGTGTGTCGGTTTTATTTTCACGAGAAAAAAATCGTTAAATGAGATTTTTCCTCGTTTTCTTAATCTCAGAAAAGGTAAGCGTCTTTTTTTTTTGTTGCTGAAATTTTCTCCTCCAAAGTTCTAAAATGTCCGGAATGTCATTGTGAGACTGAAGAAAAGCTTTTCTTTTTTTTAAATTGTTTCCCTGACTATACTGACCGAATGCTGGGCTTGTTTCCAAAACTTTTGCACCCTTTACCCTTTGACTTTGACGTGTTTAAAGGAAAAGAAAGATAAAAAATAAATAAATAAAACCTAGTGACGAAAACCGGGGTTTTTTGTTCGTTTTGGCCCGATTCCATGTTGGCCGTGGTGTTTATGTCAGATTGAATTCAAGTCCTCTGTTGCTGGGTCCTCTCCTCTGACCCTATTTATGGTGACGCTTCGAAATTTTTACACATCGAAATCAAAACTAAAGAGATGGGGAGAGAGAGGTGTCGATGAAAACTTGAGCCGATAACAAACCAGGGTGAACGCAAAAATGTTCGGTCTTATTTTTTAAAAGTTTTTTATTACACAGTCAAACCTCTTTAAGTCTAAATCTATAGGGCAGTGTTCCCCAACCCGTGAAGATTTTTTTTTTTTTTTGCTGATACATGAGAAATTTTTTGCAGCATAATGGATTCATCAAAAGTAGCAATGAAGTCTGTTATCTTCATCCAAAATTTTGCCAAGACAATTGCAGAGTTGAAATTATCCAAGAATCAAAATGATAAAAAGTTGGCTTTTCTCTCAACTAACGCTTGAGACTATTTTTTGAATGCTGAAAAACTTCATTTGTATTTTATCTTTTTGAGAAACCTTTCTTCAAGCCCACCTTTCTAATTTTTAAAAGACAGTTCCCTATACAGCTGCTTCATTGGTTTTTAATTTTTGTACAAAAAAGCAGAAACTTTTCAAAATACCTGCCATCTTTCAAGCAAATTTTTTTTATTCCTCAAAAAATGTGCAAAACTCTGCTGGTCCTCAGAAACATTTTTAGGAATTTGCTGGTCCGTATTTTTTTTTATTTGCTGGTCTACAGTTCCAAAAAGGTTGGGGAACACTGCTATTGGGTACCTGTGAAAAATGTAAATTCATTTGTAATGTACTGTACAGTACTGAATTTATATTTTTGCAGGCTAATGTAATCTTAGTGTACTGTAATTTAATTTCATGGAATTTGATTTTAATATACAGGACAGTAACTTCAATTTTATGGGATTAAATTTCAGTGTTCAATAATTTAATTTTAATATACCTGTAATTTAGTTTTATGGAATTTAATTTTAATATACCTGTAATTTAGTTTTATGGAATTTAATTTTAATGTAACCTAATTTTATGGATCTTAATTATATGGAATTTAATTTTAATATAACTTAATTGTTTGCTGACAGTAATTTAATTTTAATTTAATGTGATTTTAATGTAACTAAATTTTAATTTAATGTGATTTTAATGTAACTAAATTTTAATGTAACTTATTTTCAATGTAGTTTAAGGATATTTATCACATACAGTATTTGTTGGCCACTTTCTATTGATTGATGGTTTCCATTGAGCTCTGGAAATATAACTGATTACTTTCTATGTTTTCTTTATGTCATTTGAGTCTGCCAAATTATTTTACACGTTAAATTCAGGCTAGGTGTAAGCTTGTGTGAGTGTTTTGGTTATGTGTTACCCGTTGTTACACTTTTGTTTCTCATTGAGAATGGTCAGTAGAAAAGGGCTGCGTGCTGCTGACATGACATTTATCCAAAAGCTATTTTTGAGCTACTTTTATATCAACTGGGAACATTCTTAATAATTGCCTCCACAATTATTTCTGGAATTTTTCGTTTTTTTTTTAAGTGTCAAGGAAGTATTCTTTTTGGAATTCAAAAATGTATGCAAGATGCTTGAGAACTAGGATTTTTCTTTTCAAATGTTGTCTTTTTAAATTAATACACTATACATTTCTGACAATAAAGCTTTTGAGACATCGCAAAATCTCTGTTGAGACAAAATTCAAAATATCATTTTAGTTATACTCTACAAGGGACCTTCAAGGTTTTTTTAAAATTAAAGGTACAATTGTTGTAATGATATGAGTAAGTTATGAAAAATGATACTGCTGTATTTAAGCTTCCCAACTGACCTGTGTATTTTTGTTCTTCGGTTGTCCATCATTTCAATGATGGCAGCCTGATGAATAGAAAAAAGGAAGTCGAACCATGCGTGTGAAAAATGGTAAATGTTTTCCTTAATTCAAGACCGCAATAGTATGCGTATTGGAATCGGCGTGCAAAATTTCCTGAGAAGGTCCTGGTAAATTCCTTTTGCATTTTGGAGGTACTGTACTTAGGAACCCGTGCTGATCGGGTGGATAGCAAAGGTCACCGGGGCTCTTTTCTTTGTTTGTGGAATGTGGTGGAATGGTATGGGAGAGAGAAAGAGAGAGACTTGGTCTTCCATTCTCAACCTGTGTGGAGAGAATTTTTATTTTTTTTTACAAGCGTGACGCGTTTGAGAAAACGGAAAGCCTAGAATTTATCAAATTTTGTGCGTGATTAGCTGAAGTGTCAAGATTAGGATTGGCCAAAAAAATGCAGGCCCAAGATCCGGACATTGGCTTTAGTTAGGAACATTTTTCTGAAATTTCCCCCAAAAATTGAAACATTTCAATTGTTTTTAATTTTGATATCTTTTGAAAAAATCAAGCTAATTATATAACAAAAAAAACAATGAATAAATGTCATGATAAATTTACTCTGATTCATGATCAAGCTGATTTTGTGCTTCTTTTTTCAGAGTGGTTTTTTCTATTATTTGTGCATATTCAAGCAAGACTTTGCTTTTTGATCTTTTGACACCAAAAGTTCAGATTCTATGTGGTTTTGTTCTGCACTATTGTTTTTTGTATAACTTGAAGTTGATGAGGGAAACAATTTGTATTAAATTTTTTAGGTGTTATTTCTAATTTTTGACAAAAAGTAGAAACCAATTAAATATATTAGCATTGAAGCCTAAGAGAAAATGAGACTTGACTTAGGGAAAATTCTCACATCAGGACACTCTTTATGCACCAATTATGTCCACATCTTGGGGTCTCAAGGTACCCATGAAACAATCTTATTCCCTGAGGGAGAAGAAAACGGTGTTCTTTCTTTTCAGTTGTAAATTGTCCAACTTTAAAATGAATGATTCACAATACATAATTACTGTGAACACCCACATGTAGACACCTCAACCCGCGGACAATTTGACACAGGGACACTTATTTTCCCAGAAAAATCAATATAGAAGGCCCAACATGAGGACACTGACTCAACATAGGGACATTTTGTGATAAATTTGCAAATAAATTTCTAGCCAAATCACAAGAAACAGATATTTCCAACCCTAAAATTGATGTAAGAAAAGTTCTTGGGCATTTCTCTCACCAAATTACCATCCATTTAACAAATAAAAAAAATTACCTCCAGCATAGAGGACTTCTACTTTTTTTTCACTTGAATGTTATTTTTGTAGATGCCGAAATTTCAGTGTACAGTACAGAGATGCACTATTCAATGCTCCAAATGTTTGTATTGAGTTGAAAATGTATTCACTAATTCAAATTCAAGTGGCAAACAATTTTTTTCAGGGAATTCTGAAGAATATTTCTTCCACAAAACACCAAATAAAAAGTATATCATGTAAGTCTATGGGAAAACAAGACTCAACTTAGGGACATTTTGACTTGGGGACACTCTCCATGGACCAATCAAGTCTGCATCTCCCGGTCTCACTTTTTAACTGAATTAAATCTGTGAACACCAGTTTGAAGTGTCCTTGGGGGAAGGTGAGGGGGGGGGGGGGGAAGAAGGAGCAATGGCCTTGACTCCGCCTACAGCTCTCAGCTGAAACCTCTCTTCCTTTCCTTCTTTTTCCTTGTGAAACCCCTGTTTTTCCCCCTTTTCTGTGAAAAATTTGGGGAAGGGGGGAAAAAGGGGGGTCGTTGTTGTGTCCATGCATCTCCCGTTGTGCCCTGAAACCATCCTTCTAAGATGTAGATCAGAGTTCACGGTTGTTGCACGTGTGTTCGATTCAGTTGGGGGGAACAGTGATTCCAAATTGTTTTTGTTGTTGTTTTTTTCATAGGCTGTGTTGCACATTACGGAAGATTGACGCCATCACATTCAATATGTGGCGCAGTTGCCTTCGTCAGACCGCGAGTTTTCGTCTCATGCTAGTTCCTGTTGTGAGGAATAATAGGAAGACTTTGACAGGTGTTCGGTTACAGTCTAATCTGCCAGG